AAACCTTTATCAAAGAGAGGGTGGACAGCAACGAAACTGGATTTTGGCAGCCCATTTCTCGTCTCAAGGTAAAAACCTTCACAAGTTTTTCCAAGAAGAACACAGCCAAGTCTGCTGATGAACGATCCATCACCGTCTATGCCGACAGAGACCTGTTTGGACAATTGCTGATAGTTTCTAACTCAAGGGAAATTGACCTGAGGGAGGTTTTGCGCTATGAGTTATCATCAGTTCCATTTTCTTTAGCACATGCAGACGGAACACTTAGGAAAACCGTGAAGAGTACCCTAATGACGGACCTTGAACAGTTTACAAGTTACAGATATACAGCCAAGGCTCCTATTGGACAATGGTTTGTCTACAGCACACATCATCGATGGCATATATGGCACTAGTGCAGATGCTACAATCATCTGGCGCTCGTACATTTGGTGAGCTCACTCAAAACTACTTCAAGGCCATCACTTATCCTCTTGGGAAGGATAATTGCTCGCGTGTCGATGTTGTTTTCGACAGGTACAATAAGGAAGACTTTATTAAGGAGGTAGAACGAGAAAGTCGAGGGTCATCATGCGGATATGAAGTCAAAATATCCGGAAAACAGACACCAGTGCCAAAGAATTGGCTGAAGTACATCAGGAATCCAAAGAACAAATCTGCGCCGTAAGTGTTCCTCTGGTAGTAGTTGGACTGAGCTTGCGCAGTTAAGCTTGATGCCAGGACAACAACTAGTTCTAGCTGGTGGTTACGAGGATAGTAGAGTTACACGGATGGTCATCAGAGGAAATAGCCGCAACCTTAGTTCACTAGAAAGCGACCACAAAGAGGCGGACACACAAATGTTGCTGCACGCACAGTCTGTATATAACGACCACAAGAGAGTAGTTATACAGTATAGAGGAGCTCGTGAGCCCGAGTGATAGGCACGCCGCACGTGTGATCGTATAGTCTGACCAGGTTCGTTGTACAACAGATACGTGTGCAATAGCACTTAAGCCACAGACAGTATAATTAATGCTATAACCACCGAATTGCTACGGTAACTCTATTCTTTAATAAGCAGCATCAACATAATAGACACATACAGTACATAGATGGCTACGCAAGCCAACCAGTAAATATGATACAAGACATACAATACATATCTTATACACCAGGCACATACAGACAAGCGACTAGTTTACAAATGCAGTACATATTTACGAGCGTGGAGTTCTGCAGGTCGCAGGCAGCAGGCAGGTGCTCAGTCAGTGAACTCCAACGGTGACGGTAGCGTGGTGATCCCCAGTAGCTGAGATCAGCGGAACCTGGTGCTGACAGCGTCGGGAGCTGTCAGGCACCGTGGAACCGTGTCTGTCTTCTTGTCGAAACTGTTCGGTATTTATACAACTGGAGGAATGCGTGGCCTGCGCGTCAAGGCCTTGTTGCGTGCAAATGGTGCAATCTTGTGTCCTTCTCCAGAATTTTATGGACAACTGAAGGTGAGAGATTTCCTTCTCTAACGTGAGAACGACAGCTGGAGCTTCTGGAAGTCCTTGGGAATCGCGGCAGAGTTCGATTCATGTTCTCATAGTTCACATTTGTCGGCGGCGTTCGTTGTTTGATCTTCATCAGTTGGCATGCGACATCAGGGTGTGATGTCCTTCTATAGGTACTAAAATGTCATCGTGCCGCCTTGTGCCACGTGATGATTCCATGTGCACGCGGCGTGCTCGGCTCACCAATGCTGAAGGTATGGCACAGATTTGACCCTGGTTGGGTTGTGCGACACCGGTGTTAGAGGTCCCGCTGTGTCACACACGCGCCCGGCGTGCGCAGCTTGTGATAAGACTCATAGCAGTCATCACCTTGAGCGGGTCGTAACTTTTACTCGTGTTCTAGTGACACAGTTTCTCGGGATGGCTGGATGGCGTTCTTCGCTTGTTGCCTTGGCTGTTACTAAACTAACCTATGACGTGATCTGCTTACGTTTAATGACTCGTGTCGCTTGTTTTTTTATACTAGGTTAAATAATTCGATATCTACGTCACTACAACAGTCACCGGACACAGATGTGGCCGTGCTTTGTATACATGCATTTGCTGCTTTGCCGTGTGAGCAATTGTGGTTTCGCACTGGTATGAAAGACAAGCTAAGGTATATACCCATTCACAGCATTGTAGACAAACTAGGTGAAGAGCTGTGCTCCTTGCTTCCTGGATTGACAGGATGCAACACTACTAGTGGTCTATGCCAGATTGGTAAGAAGAAGGCATGGAAGGTAGTCAAGAATAACCCTGCAGTGCGCACTGGTCTTGTGAGTCTTGGAGAGGCGACACCCCCCCTCTGATGACACTGTCGTTATATATGTGAGCGATTCATTTGCTCAGCATACACATCATCAACGAAAGCTGGTAGTACAGCAGATGATGTTTGCTATTGGAGGTTTTGCCAGAGAAAGCAAAAGAATGAGGGTCTTCCACCAACCTCCAGCAGCCTTTATCAACACATTCTGCGAGCCAACTACCAGAACCTTGTGTGGAAGAGATGCCTGACACCACAACAGCAGCTGCCCTCTCCTATAGGAAATGGGTGGTCGAGAACAGACGATGGAACACTTCAGCTTGTGCTCATGACAAAGGACCCAGCTCCTACTGGCCTTATCGAATTGACGACATGTAAATGTGACAAGTCCTCGTGCTCAAGAAGCAACTGTTCATGCAAGACAAATGCAATGCCATGTACTGAGGCATGTAGATGCATGAGTGACGACAGCTGCTGCAATCTATTTAATACGCTATCAGTTACTTCAGATGGGGATGACAGTGATGAAGAACAATAGGAACTCCATGGGCACAGAATTTGTTAGATTTGACAACATAGCCTGCCTGTGATTCGAAATAGATATTGTTGCTAATGTAGACACGAGGTTTGCGTTAATTAAATCAGTTAATCATTTTATAAACTCCGTTTACATTATCGGAACCGCAGATTGATTCTTGTAATGACTAACTATAGCCACGAGCAACGAGTTTAAGCGAATGTGCGAAGCACGGTCTGCGAGGATGCAGGAGTGCTTGTACACGAGTAAGAAGGTTGTTGTGTACACATTTAGCACACGACCGCGAAACAAGGCGCTCCCCGGAGGAGGCGTCGACACAATAGAGATACTCGTTTATACACGAGCGATCGTGGACTTCCTTGTAAGGGATGGGGCGATCGGTTGCTCGTATAGACTGACCGTGTACATAGCAATGTACATAGGAATGTACTATTCTAAATCGACACATCTGTGGTTAGTTTGGGTTGCAGAGGAGCGTTCCCTTGTTTGGACGGGGTTTGCAGTTGCTAATTTAAGCGTGTATTTAAGACGGTCCGGACGAGCACAGTCAGTTGTTGTGTTTGAGTTTGCGTGCTAACATCGTCAGTGCTTGCGTCGTGCGTTGTTACCAGTCTGTGAGTATGTAAGTCTTCTTAACTATGGCTTGAGGTTCTCTTCTTCTTATGCACATAGATCTATATGCCGCTATGGACCTATCACTATCTTGTATTCTTATTTGTTGTTCGTAGTGAGCTATCTTTTAGTATGAGCGATAACTTCCTATATTTCTAAACGTAGTATCTTTTAGCTGTGTAAATTGCACTCGCACTGTGTATAATTCTTCAGTACTTCTCCGTGTACCGTAGTACGTGTATCTTTATTAACTGCAGGAGCTTTCCTGAATAAATCTATTCTTGTGGCACTGTCTACACTTCTTCTCTTGTGAATATAAGTGTTAACATTTCTATACACTTCTCGTAAGACCGGAGCTAACCGTCTACATTGGTGCCGTGACCAGGATACAAACCTGGGTTATTGCGGCGTATGGTTGAATGCGTAAGATGCCTTAAAACTTGATGGAGATCACAGCGAGTTTCCAATCTTGTTACCAAGTAAGGTTTAAGGTACATCAACGACTGCAGAGCGTGAAATATAAGCTAAAGCTATTTTGTTATTGATCACAATACATGGATTCAGTTTGTTTGGTTGAGTGATGAAGTGTAAATAAAATGTCTGAACAAACGTAGTTTGGTTTGATGAAATAGCATCGAGCAGTAGTTGTCATGGTATAACAATTTAAAACCACAAAAAATTATCCTCGGTACGTCTCTCTTATGTCTCCCTTAGTTCTTTACCTTTGCAGCTATGTATAGTTTAACTCGGCAGAGAGACATGACTTTTTTCACATTCAACCATTGAGCAATTATATGACCATCTACAAAATCTACACCATATACATTTTTTTTAACACTACAATTACCGTGTCAATAGAATTTTTTTGTTATTTGTTGCCTTACAACTCGTTTTGAGGTTTGAATATTCAAAGAAAAGTTTTTTCTCATCATTCAAAGGCAAATATTTGAAAAATTCATTTGAATACATAATCAGGACTTTCTCCTGTATATTGTATGGTTGCCCCTAGCAACCGTTGTCATAGCAGCATCCCACGGGTCCGGGGATAATTAACTTTATTTTGTTCAGGTTCTGGATCTCTATACACAGTCCAAATTTGAGTCAAATCGGACAATTGGTTCCAGAGATATACCCATTACAATCATTGACATGCATGGCGCCATATGTACATTCACTTCATTATTATTTTACCCCCACCCCCTCCAAAAATCGTCATGTAGCACACTCCCGACCCCACAATTCATTAGTACACCCTCACTAAACTTATTCCATAGGTATTTGTCAGAATCTGATGTAAAAACAATTGTGTAGTGGTGGTGCTACGTGAACTTTTTTCTGGGTTCTGCTACTGGACTATTGAAAGAACATCTTACATTCACATCGATTTGCATCTATTTAACTGAGATGCCGAAACTAGTGATGTAGTATACAAAAAAAAACAATTATACTTAAGAACCCATGCCACTCCACTCTATCATGAGCTCAGTCAATCTCATAAAATTGGGTGGTATTTACAACATTTGATCATTGGCCATTTAATTCGCAAAATCATTATATTTCCAGCTTACCCAACTGGAGGGTTTTCGCACAGCCTCGGATATGAAGCTGCAGTGCAACACTGCACATCCACAGGAGTGAAAAACCACAATGGAACACCAAGTGACTATATATTCCTACTGCAGGGCATAAAATTAGCCAAAATGTGAACAGGCCCACCCAAAATTTTAAACAGGCCCTTACAAGTTTGAACAGGCCCTGAATTTGTTCAATTTATTCCATTATTAATAAAAGTATTAGCTTTGAAATTGTGTTTATTAGGCATACTCATAGTATCAGGACTCAGGAGTAAGATAATATAGGTCCTATATAAGATAATATAATATAATATATATATAAATAATATATATAATTCAGGAGTAGATAAATGGGCAGCAAGGGTCGGGGGGTTCGGAGGAGTAGTGACTCAATAAACAAGGAATTCGATAATTTACTAGCCTTATAATACCTAAGATTTCTAGCGTTAACTCATCCAACTTGAGCTCAAATGGACGTAATTCGCATTCGTGAGAAAGTACGTCTTCTTCACGAGCACCACGAACCGGAATCGAGAGATACAAGCCTAAACGTACGACAACGTTCTCAATTCTTTTAGCATCAATGCAGCCCATTTGACGATATATTCATCAAAGGACTACTAACGCATTGATACTGAGCGAGAGCGTGTCGCTGGGAGAATTAGGCATCAACCTCGAGAGATAACGCTTTAGAACAGGACGGTAAAGCTAACGGCCATTTGTAATGCTGAATGCTTCAAAGCACGCACAGCCAACCGCATGATTAGCTCTCGGGTTGCGTCGGATTCCATTCCCCGCGGCACACCAGCCACATTCAGCGCTTCGACGAGAGCAAAACAGGTGTGGGCCCGTGTTGCTGCTTTATAGTTTGAATTTAGGCGGCATGGCTGGATTGAGGCCGAAAGAATGGAGTAATCGTAGTCGTACGTTTAGCTGTATTCGGATTGCGGGTGTCTACGAGGAAACGATTTCCGCCGATGGATTGGAGATGTACATGTGTCGATTTTGAGTCAGTTGGACTAGATTACGGTAGTGAATCGTAGGTCTTCCAACCCCACACCACACACCCACACAAACCCACACACCACACCACACACACACCCCCACACCCACCCTAAGGCTAAGTATAGAAATATCCCTTGTATATATGTGTCACACTCCCTATTAACTCTATCCTGATAATATAATATAATATAAGATAATATATATCCTATATTATCTTACTCCTGATAGTATTTCAGTATTTCATTGCTATCAGTGGAGTTCTACTTGTTTGACAGGAATTGCTGGAACATGATTTACTTCTTACTAGTCACTAAGTAAAAACTAGTCAGGAAATTGGTAAATATTGTTGATATAATATAAAGACAAGATTGGCAAAATTTTGAATAGGCCAAGTGGACTGAGTATATGGGGGGTTGAACCGGTGGTTTAGGGGGTTGAACCGGCGGCCGCCGGCAAAATAGCGCTAATTTCGCGCACTAGCTGCTACAGATATGAAATACTTTTAAGGATGTATATGTAAAGGACGTAAGGATGTAAGTATAAGCATTGTAACGAAGTCACAAGAAGACTCCAAAATGCCAACTGACATTGACAACTTTTATGTCTCTTTGTTATATAACTTTATCTTTATTCTGACATATGCAAGCTATGAACCAATCCTACACTAATCCAACTGCCTGGCTGCTTCACTTCCCTCCTTCCTTGCATCATCACCGCTTATATAAATCAAATCCTCTTTGTTCTGTTGTACAATTTACACGCGCTTGGGTTTGACCAAGTGTGTCAAAACCCTACACGGTCGAATCAAACCCTAAGCTTGGTCAAGTGCGCAACTTCCCACAGTCAGAAATTACAGACTTTGCAAACAATAAAACGTAAAATTGCTACATTGATTTTTAACATTGTCAAATTAACACATTTTGTGTTCACTGTTCTGGCTCAATCTTGCTTTAGGATCCATTATACAGAAATTATTATCATAATTGTGGCTATCAGATACTGACTGGGTGCATTTTACTATGCAAATGTCTGTAAGGTCTGTTATTAATTTGCATTGTATGTATGTGGTCTAGACAGACAAAACAGTAGTTTGGAAATTATCTCATTTGTTTATACTTTGCTATTTGCTCTTTCCCTAGATGAATTCACAAAATTTGTATTCAGTTGCCTGGAAAATGCAGGTAGGAAATACTGTTATTATTTATTTACCATAGTTCTGCATAAAAGCATTAAGAGTGAATAAAAACACAGTGTTGATTATGTACAATGATCTAATTTTATTCACTCCTGATGGTATATATTATGTACGTGCTATAACAGGATATTCCTGGTATTCCTGGAAGACTATAATTGAACAATCAGGAAATAAAGTAAGCATATATAAAGCTAGCATATGTCCAAGAATATGCATTTGCATAATTCCCTTTGAAAAATGTTTTGTGAAATTATATTTAGTTGAAATTTGGCATTCACTATAGCATAATATGCTATATTATATAATTGCGGGGGTTAATAATGATAGATATTATCACTGTCACTGTCTGAGCTGTCATTCACCCCTGACTGCATGGTGACTGGTATTATATAATAGATACGTTGACAGGTTCACTGCAATTACCATACCTACGATGTGCCTACCTGAGTGAAAGCATAATCGATGTGGAGCAGTTAGATGTGAGCCTTCACGCCAGGCTTACGAACCACGTGGCAAACCGGGCCAGCATGAGACAGGTACCGTAGCAAGCAGGGTAAAAAATACACGGGAGCGATGAGTGATTCGCTCTTCAAACCTCCGAAATCGCTCCCGTAAGGCTCAAAGTAGCTCGCGTAAAATTTTTGACGAGAGCTATTTTTTCCCCCAGTCTTGAAAAAGAGCTCCCGTGAAAAAAGAGTATTTTTCCCTGGTAGCAAGTTACTAACTGTACACAGTCAACCCTGTCTATAAGGGTCACTCAAAACGCTAAAAGTGTTTTATAGACGGATGTCCGTTCTATAGAAGTAGTGTCGTGCAGTAGGCCTAAAACTGCTACTCAAGGTAGAGAAGTGCTAAAGGTGTCCTTTATTGACAGGTGTCCTTTGTAGAGAAGGGGGTTCACTCCATATAACTGCCACTTAATGGAAATTCTAAATTTATCTTTTTGTAGACAGGTGTCCCTTCTATGAATGTGACCACTAACACAGGTTTAACTGTATATGTGCACACAATTGTAGGAAAGCGGCAAGGGTAAGAAAGCGCCGGCTTCTCCACACTTAGTTTTTCCACACTTAGCGCGCACATTGATAATTTCCCGTGAGTCTGCTTCAGCCTGGGCGCACGGTGTAGGCCACCCATATAACACCAATATAAGTCACGCGTGTGAGATACTGGGGCCATTACACAACGGTTATGGACTTGTTGACGCCAAACGCGCACGGACTAAGAGACTTGGCTCTGATCCGTTGACACGACCAGTCCAGTTGTCATTCCTCTCCGTTTGTCCCCCTGTTCCTTTTCACACGGGCCTGTTGATATTTCCTGGTTTAGTTCCTACCATTCGCCTTCACCCCAGTCAAGCGTCTTCACGAACCGCTGTGCTAAGGTATGGAATTATTGTAATACGGTGCTCTGTATGTGTAGGCATCTGTGTAGCATCGTAGAGTTGTGTTTGTTTAGACTGTTAATGTGCAAGCCGTGGTAAAGAGAATATTACAAATACCGAATTGAAGAGTAGCTTACAATACCTTGTTCGTGTTATCCTATCTGTGTTATCTATCGTGGACTCGGTCAACGCAACCTGTTACTACCCCCATAAGAAACGGGTGCTACTAGCGCACCCGCTAAACCGTAGAGCCTGCGGAGCGGGAAGAGAATCCCGTCCTTAGACAATGTTGTGAATTGTCCGGAATGAATAAAAACGTTTTGATTTTATTCATTCCTGATGATATATATGCTTAATTGTATGTAATCTATACATACGTTAGAAAGCAATGGCTCAATCCTAGTTCAGCACTGTGGATTAGTTTATCACATATATGCAAAGTATATATACCTGGGTCCCAAATAGGATTAAGCAAAAGCAATTAACATTTAACACTCAGCAAGTGTTGTAAGAACCAGATAAGATGCTGACAATCCAAAACTAGTCGTCCATTTCTAAAATGCCGCAATACATACAAACATACAACACCACAGCTCTCACACGATTTAGTAGATTCTCCAGGCACTGCTTGTTGTTTAGTACCACCTCCATTTCTGTTAAGTGATGTCTGATTGCATAAAGCGTGATGATACACGTATCTGTACTGTGCTGCTGGTGATTTTACATGGGTGGTCACGTTTCAGGGTCGAGCGTTTGTGAATGTGGCAAGCGAGATCGTATCACTGCCCTCGCTGCAGCAGTTATGCGTGTTGATAGAAGAGGATTCACTCGTCGGGCACTACTCCGTGATGTTTGGATATGTGTGCCGCCATCTATGCCTGACAATGCAGGACACTGTCGACATATTTATGTATGGCGTACTGAGAACCATCGTTGCAAGTGCAGTGAGACTTGGGAAGTTGGGATCGTTGGAGGTATACAGCTCCTACGGGTCGTGTTTGCAAACTATCAGCCTCATGTTAGCGCTTAAGCCCGGCGCACACGTGAGTTATTTTACTCAAGTAAAATGACGCATGAGTCATTTTACTCACGTGTGCGGCGGATTTTCGTTGAGTAATTTGACTCATGTGTCATTTTACTTGAGTAAAATAACTCACGTGTGCGCCGGGCTTTATGCGTATGCAATCAGTTCTTATACATTTTTGTTCCCCTCTTTCTTATGACTCTTCATATACAATGTAGAGAACAATTAAAATGAATTTTACAGCTGTTGTGATCAAGGTATTAATTAGATATTTAACATTTACAGGCACAGAAACTTCAGTACGAAATTCAACAAGTTATTCCTAATATAGTGGAAAGGTAGGAACTGCGTGTGAATTTACGTCACGTGTGCACATAAAAATATCGACTTTGCAGCTACTTAATTGTTACTAAGCAGCGTTTCTAGAACGCCACTATTGTAATGCTGGTGGGTTAGAACAACTGTCCAATCACTCCAGGTGGATGGGTCGATTAAGGAGTGAATGTGTGTGTTTGTTCATGTTACAGGTACAGAAGTTGCAGCGTAGAGGATGCATGTGTTCGCTTCCCCGTCCCCGAATATGTGCAGAGTACGCACGATACAATGTTTGCTCGTCTCTTCCACTCCTGATGTTTGATTCACGTATATATGTGCGGCACATCAATGTATCTGTATACAATGTCACCTATATATGTAAGTGTACGTTATAGACTGTTCTGTAGAAATGACTGTGAACATGGGTTTGACTGTATATATACATCAGTGTCACCCAGTTAGAGTAAGAAGTTCTTTACTTTTCTAATAAATGACATTTTTGCATCAGAATATAGCTGATTATGTTGAGTAATTACAGTAATGTATTAAACTATGTAAAGACATCTAACATATGAATTCCGAAAGAATGTGTTACACCTCAGTCATGCATGTCGTTACATGTATACATTGTTACAATAGTTATATTGTTATAATAGATATCTACACGTTATTCTGTATGGATTTGCTATTGTGGATACTTGTAAAGAAGTGGCATTTTAAGACATAACTTTGTTTTTATAAATAACAATTAATAATCTAATAATCTAACACGAAATCATTATTTATCTATTTCATTAACCATGTTTTATTTTTCCAAAATAATAATTTCAGATACAGTATTAGTAAGATGAACACACAACCGTGAAAACGTGCTATAACATTCAACCACGTATCTATGATTGTCTATTGGGAATACACAGATTCCGAGTGTTCATATACAACGTATAGTTTGTAAGGTCCAACACCGCACCATCATATTTAATATAGACATCACCGGTTTCATTTCTTACTAGAATCGCGCAGTAATAGTTTGATTCCTGCCCTCACAACTAACATGTAAATATCAGATTAGCCACCCATTATAGGTGGTATTGTATGTATTTATGTATATAAAATAGTTATAAATCAGCAATAATGGTGCAGATATGTGTATATGTTTAATATAAACTTATAGGTTAAAAAACACCCACAAAGCTACTACAACTGTTTATGTGTTCATATACTAGTCATAGAAATTCTCTATTTTCTATTTACAGCATGAAATTCATTATAATCATGATGACCATGATTTTATATATATTAGATACTTTTCCTCTATTAAAACAAACAATTCTAACAATTACAAAATATGGTTAGTAATATAGTAAAACATGTATAGTCAGTTACCAGCAGTGTAACATTCTAATAGACAAATGATTAACATGAGTAAATACGATAACGATTTTAATGTAAACGTGAATATCAGGAAACTGCTCAAGTATCAATACGCTGGTACATGAAATTTAATATTATAGGTATTATTTATCATTATATTTAATTTATCTTATAGTGTAAGCTCATGATTCTGGATTGAGTGGGAGGTAGGTATTTCTGGATTAAATGAAAAACTGAACAACTGAAGTAAAAAGACAGACATATAACTGATAACCACGGATAGACACAATCCAAAATTCGACTCACATTAACCCATATACACAATCCTGTAAATAGTGAATTACAAATTGAAATATAAACCATACCATAAAACAGAGGGAAATGTAGCTGACGTATATTAACCACAGGTCGATACACTCCAAAATTCTACTCATATAAACCCATATACACAATAACCCCATAAGTAGTGAATTACAAATATAAAACATAGTTTCTCTGTTACCTTTAACTACTCTACAACATCAACACATATTTAACTTTTTTTTCCCTGTACTCACTTTATGGTGTCCTAAAGTTTAGCAAAAATTTGGAAGTTTATTCAACATTTCTAGGCTAATAAATAGTGCCATAGAACTTTTTATAATCTGACACTACTCTAGAATAGTGTCAGATCATACAAATTTCTAGGCCATAATTTATTGGTCTAAGACATTTCCACTGCTTAGCAGATAAACAAACTATGGCACCTGGTTATGCTTTGCTAGTGTTATAGAGTTGGTCTGGGTGAGCAAAGATTCGTATCAGTGGGGTGCAGACTGGCGAGGCTTCTCTCAATTCCTGAATGTAATGCAAAGTGAGAAATGTTTGTGATGCTGATCACAAACTCCAATCACTCACTCGCACACGCACGTACACACACGCCTGACGCACGCACACACACATGTACATGCACGCACGCACGCATGCACACTCTCTTCACACTACCACACACGTTACGCAACATTTCCTTACAAACACATCATGGAGAAGTCTAACAGTAGTACTGTAAACAACAACATACAATTCAACAGAACAGTGCCATCTGGGAGCTGATTAAGGCAGGAAGTGGTGCTGCTTCAGTGGCAAGCTGGAGTTGATCAGATTACGAAGTATGCAGCATCAGTGGCAGCCTTGAGGCGATTAGAACAGGAAGTAGCGCTGCGTCAGTGAGAGCCGCTTGGCTGGTGGGCAGGTGAGGTGAGTTTTCACCTCTTGCTGCCGCTCATCCTCCTCCGTCAGCTCAACCTTGTACGTCTGAGGGTCAACTGTTATACAAGAGCACATATAGTGAGCAACATACATGTGAGAACCACGCACAAGCAGGAGAGCCATGAGACTATAGGCATACCATCACATCGAATCGCATATAACGGGATACTTGACCCTAGGTTCCTTGCATGTTTTCAGTTAAAATAGGTTTAAACTGCGCTACATAAAAAATTTCATTGCTCAATATTCATTAGAAATATTTTTTTTTAACGTTTAAAAACTAATGACCGTATCGTTGCTAACAACGACGGTGGCGCCACTACAAGCCCATATGCTTTCAAAGTTGCGCATCTCAGCTTTTCGGCTGCAGGCTACAGACCAGGGCGTTTCTTATTTAATAATTTAAGAGGAAAGGGATTGCAATATCTAATAAACAAATTTTAGATTCAGTTATAATATGGACGAATTTGTTCCAGAATAAATATCGTTCAGTTAAATAGCAGTTAGGTATAAATATAATTGCACTTTTGTGATTATAGCCCTCGGTCTGTAACGTCCAAAATAAATGGGCAAAAGCTCAACTTTGTCAGGGTGGCAGCACAATCGCGGAGTTCGTGTCACGTCAGCGGCCAAAGATGAAGATTTCAAAATGCACTGTTGTTTTATGACAAATGTGAATGCCGCATTCACATTTGTCATAAAACAACAGTGCGCATTGCGTGATTATAGAAATTTGTAGGTATATACTATTATTTATGCACTTACCATCATAATATACCCTGAAATTCTAGTTGTAGTATCCCTTTAATACCATAATGTAAACACGTGTGAAGCGGCTTCTACAGAGCACACACACTCTGCACTAACCTGTATGCATTTGACAAGTTTGCTACTAGTTGCCGTGAAGATAGCAATGAACAAATTCATAATGCACATAGATTGTTGTCTACATTCGAGTTGCCAAGGGTAATATATACGTGTCTCACTACTCATACTGGTAGCAGTTACTGCATACTGCATGCCAGATCCAATTGTGTACATTTCATGTCACGTAAATAACACTCACTATAGTAGTATATTAATATTACGCACGTGCGCACCCACGCACGCACACACACACATGGTACAAAACTTGCTGTGTCATCAGCACAAAAATTTTAACTGATGTATGTTCATTTAATCGAACGATTCAACTTTCAT